GGAGAGGGTGACGGAGGCGCAGAAGAACCAGAGGCTGCAGAAGAACCTGAAGGTGAGAGAAGAGGTTTATTGTTGGGGCTTTTTTTCCCCAGAGGTTTCTGGCAAAAAAAAAAAAAAAAAAAAATGGCTCACCGCCCAGGGCGCCGCTCCGTTCGGGTGGGTTGGAGGAGTCGCAGGTACGGCACCAACCTTTTTTTACGACAACGTCTCTGTTGCTTATTAGCGCGCCAAGTCAATGGGCGTTGGGTGTTTTTTACGAGGTGTGTTCACCACCACTGACTAATGCGACGCTGATTCAGCATTAGTGAACATTTTACTTTTTTTTTTTGTTTGTTTGTTTTTTGTTTTTCTCAAGGAATCCAATCATTTGATCAAGTCTACTTCAACATTTTAAAAAAAGCCAAAAAACTCGAACTGGCCTAATCCAAGCTGGATAATTGAACTCTGAACAGATCTCCTTCAAAGCACCCTGCATCCGCCGGGGACCCCGTCGGGTGGCGCGCAGCGTGCTGCGGGTCGCGTTAAAACCCGTTTGAAACGCCACGAAACCTGCGCTTGCGATGGTGAAAAAGAGCAGAGAAATGTTTATTATTGTTATTACCGTGAATCTTTTTAATGTATCTGCGCAACATGAAAGCGAAAATTGCCAGTGTTCTTCGAAAAATTGTTGTTGAATCTCCTGCCTCGACTTGCCTCGTCTCGCTCGTCTGACATCAGCGCGCGAGGAAGAGGTGCTCCTGCTCGCCCAGGGCGCTGCTCATGCAAAAAGCACCACTGTTTCCAGGAGTCCTGGTCCAGCTACTGGTTAAACGTTCCCGAGCCGCACGGAGCTTTTAGGAGATTAAACAAATTAATTTTGAAATGCACTTTCTGGGAACTGTGTTTTGCGAATTAGGAAAGCGCTCCTGCTGAAAAGGGAGACAAATGTTGCAGACGGGGAATGAGCAGTTTTTATTAGCAGATAACATAATCAAGCCAAACAAGGCTGCATTAAGGGGGACAAATCCTACTTCTTTCTAAATACAAAGCTATAGCTCTGTTGGCAAGCTGAGAAATCTGCACAAGTACTTGTTAACACATAGACTTAAGTCCTTTCTATTTATATAAGTAATCTAAGAACAGTGCACTTCATGACTGTAATAGTAAATAACAAAAAATAAAAATATTCAAACCCCTTGAACTTATTCACGTTTTCTCTGCTTTTATTGGGTTTTATACGATAGAACAACACAAGCTAGTTGGATTGTTTCGGAGCGGAAGAAAAACAAAACGCGGCAGTTGTTTTCACAAAGAAAAACATCTTAAAAGTGTGGAGTGTGTGTCTGCATTCGGCCGCCTTTGCAATTTTACATCAAGATAAACTGCCGGTGAAGGCCTCAGAGGTGAGTGAGTCGTTTAATTTTGGGTTGTAAACGGTAATCCCAAGTTTTGAACATCTGACACAGATAAAATTTACAAACTAAAAAATGGCGAAGACGCGAAGGTCTTCCTGAACTGACTTGTTAACGGGATAAGTCGATAGAAACATCCTGTTGTTAAATTGCACGATTCGTGCGACGCAGAAAAAAAAAAATGGTTCCATGGTAGTTTTGGAAAAATATCGCTAATTTTGATACAGATGAAAAAAAATAAAAATCACCTCATGCAAGCGCACAAACTTTTTATTGGAAAACATGTGTCTTTTTGAAGTGGACGTGTTTCCATTAAGCACATTTATTTTTCATAATTCCAATTTGTGCAATTATAGGGGACGATGGAAACGCGGCTTATATTTATCCGCGAGGTCGGCCCAGTCAAAGCCCTAGACTGAAGTCTAATTGAGTCTTTGTGGGAAGACTTGAAAGTTGCATTTTATTAGCAAAAAAAAATGTATGTTTTCCTTTTCGCTTCACAATAATGTCTTTGTTTATTTACATAAAATCCATTATGTTTTCAATGTGTAAATGTGAAAATTCACATTCACAAGTAAAGGCAATGCTTGTTGAAACGGCTAATACCTGATGAGGGTTTTTAAATTATTTTATTTTATTTGAGCATACAGTCATATAACTGACCGAAACCGTCCTCTGTGATAAACAGAAGAAATGAGGAGTCCATTCAAGAGGAGCCTGTGACGGGGCTGCAAAGTTGTTTTACTCTTGCCCTTTCGGCAAGTTCTTTATTTCCTGTTCTGTGTCAACCGGTTTATACTTGGAAAAGCAAATTTGAAATTTTTCTGAAAGTTTGGTTTGTTCTTTCCTGGTTTTACCCCGGGTTTTGACTCTTTGTGTAAATATGGCAGAGTAATTGCTCCTCCAAATTGTGCTTCACCAGAACTAAGTGCACTTTACATAATTAAACATCGTTGCACTCATGGTACATCATGATTGTTATGGTTTTCGATCAAATGCGCGGATCTCGTCCGCCTTTTGAACAACATATAGTGTTTTAGAGCAGGCTGGACGAAAAATAACCTGAATAAATGATGCCAATCGAGAGGTTGTTTTTTTTGTTTTGTTTTGTTTTGTTTCGTTTTCTTCTTCTTTTTTGTCAGATGGAAATGTGGGGGCCGGGGCTTGGGGATAGGGGAGAGGGGAGTGTGACAGAGAGAGGAGCGAGGTTGCTGAATAGTCTTGCAGAATGAGGCAAAAAAAAAAAAAAAAAGAAAAAAAAAAGATTCTATTCTCCACTTTTCGCTTTCAGTTCCTGAGCACCGAGCTGGCCAGCGCCGTAGACGAGAGCAAGAAGACCCCCAATGACCTGATCCACGCTGAGAACGTGAGGGCAGGCCGTGACAAATACAAGACCCTGCGTCAGATTCGCCAGGGCAACACAAAGCAGCGCATTGACGAGTTCGAGTCCATGTAAGACGGCGAAGGCTCAGAGCTGCGCTAAACAGCAAGGACGAAGTGGAGGTTTTAGATGAGTAGAGGCTGATTATTACCCAAGAAAACATCTCACTGTAACCGAATGTGGCAGAAAAAAAATTTTTCCCGCCCTGGGTTTTTTGGGGTCTCCTTTTTTTTTTCCTGTTTTTTTTTTTTTTTTTTTAAATAACAAACTGCCCCCTGAAAGCACGTCTCAAGTTCCACCCAGTAGTTGGAAACTTGTATCTTTCTCGCCCTTTGTCCTCCCCCCACCCCCCCCCGATGTCCCGGACAGTCTGATCACACACACACACACACACACACACACACACACACACACACACACACACACACATACAGCTGCCATTTTAAAACGACCGCCCTTGTGAAAACATTTCCCTGCCGTGGACGGATTGGGAAAAATTTTGAGCCGCTTTGCAAGTATTCCATGTTGCACTTGTCGTCTCTCTTAAGAGAATTAAGGAAAAAAAATGCCCTGGAAGCAAATATCAGTACTACTCTGTTTTCTGTTTTGTTTCCATATGAATGAGTGAGCAAGCATCGCCTTCCATGTGCCTAATGAGGCATATAGTCGCCAATTATAACTTTTGCCATTCATGTACACAAAACACAGAGTTCCCAGCATCATCTCCTCATCACTGCACTTAGTTTTATTACCCAGTCTTGCAAAAATGATTGTGTTTGGATACAAATCAAATATTTGGAGCAGTTCTGTTGGGTCTTTATTCCCTCCCCCCTCCCCCCCCGCCTCTAATGAAAAAAAATACAAAGGTACATTATTAGGCTAAATTGGTGTGGTTTACCATTAATAATTGTTTTAAACCTGAATGAATTGTTCACACTTGTAAGCTTGTCATAATTAGAGAATAAAGAGAGAGAGTACCGTGGATACATGTCAGTTTATACTTCATTGTTGTTCAACACTTCAGTGAGGTTTTTTTTTTTTAAACCGTGGCATGAATAAAAAAATCTGAAAAGTGTGGCATGCATTTGTGTTGACATCCAAATCCCCTCACCTCATTCCCCCCTCCCCCCTTTTTTTTTAAACTCTTATACCCCAAAATAATTGTTAAAACTTAATAAGGAATCATTGAAAATACACAAGGTTGTCGCACGATATCAAAACAAACTTCAGTTTATTTCTTTTGGGACCAACACAAACTAAAGATGATTTCTTTTTTCTTCTTCTTCTTTTTTTTTATTACAGGAAGGAAAAATGATACATGGTGTCCAAATGTTTCCAAATAATATTCTAAAACGTCGGGTATCCGTTCGACGTGTTGCTGCTGCTGTAGAACAACATGTTCTATGTCGGTTTTTTTGGGACTGGTTTCTACTAAACTAAAAGACTTCAATGTTCAAATTTGACCTTCTGAATCTCACTCGCACCAAAAGGACCCTCAGTTGGATTTGGGGATGGACTTTGACTAGGCCATTCTAACATGTGACCCACTACACTTTGACTCCAGTCGTCCCATTGTAGCTCCGGTGGGCGGTCAGGGTTGCTTTCCTGATGAATGGTGAACTCTGACCCCAATCTCAAGTCCTTTTGCAGATTTCTTTTGCCTCTCTTTATTTAGCTGAAACCGTCGTCCACACAGTCCCTGATGAAGGAAAAGCATCACCCACAGCATGATGCTGCCATCTAACTTCACATTAGAGGCAGAGTGATATTATATGCACTGTTAATTTTCTCCTTCATCTGCATTTCACACACACACACACACACATATATATATATATATATATATATATATAATCCAGTTTTGGTCTGTATTATGTATATGTATTATTTTCCTTCACAACTGGCCTCTACTATCATGGAAAATTCTCTCAAGATCCACTAACGTCACAAAAGGTAAAACAGTTCAAGGGTTTTATTTATTTATTTTTTAATTCATTGTGATCACGGACGTTATTAACAGCGAATATTTCATCGCTTAATGGGATTTTATCGTTTGGAATGATGGGAGGGAAAGTGAACAAACAAGATTGTGTAACTTCAGTATGACAGCTGCAGTCTTTGCTCCTAGGTGTGGACAGTGACATTAAGTGGATTTACTGCCTAATCGCCGCTATTCTCGCGAGATTTGCTTACTTTTCGCCCCCAAATAACAGGGGGGCGAGCCCTCATTCAGATAAGTTACGTTCCGGCTCGCCTGTGCTCCGTGGAGTTATTGTTCACTTTGCAGCTCTGACAGTGTAGCCAATCAAGGTTCAAAGTCCTCCCACTGCTGTCTCTATCGGTTACAGTTGAGGTTAATTTTAGTAGCGTGCAAACAGTCTAACCCGAAGCGCCGCTCTTGAAAATGGTTTCTTTGTAAGAAAGAAAGAGACAGGGGGAGAGAGGAAAGAAGGAGGGAAAAAAAAGTTGTGCAGCGCTTCATTCGCGGATCGGATCGGCGGGACGTCCCTTCCCTTCAGCGACGTCGTCGGCTGATCTGAATTCCCCATCCGCTGAGACGCATGAGTGGAGTCTTACTTAGTAGGCGTTTTCTCGCCGGGAAGAAGGGGGGGGGAAAGTGGTTTGTTTGCTCTCCGTGCACTCTGCTTTAACTCCAAGGACGAGAGCCGAAGATGGCCTTTCGCTCCAGGCTGCCCGACCGAGACGAGACGAGGATGACCGAGAGGGATCGCATGGAGACCGTCGATGCATACGCGTGTCCAACTCTCGAACTCAGCCGAGCCGTGTCGGTGTCTCTGGGGCTGGACCCGCTGTCGTCTCCGCTCGGCGGTCTGAACCAGTGCCCCAGCAGCGCCTTCGGAGACTGCGAGCCCCCCGCCGCCGGCGGAAACAGTTCCTGCGGAGCGCCGGAGTTGGGCACGCCTGGAAGCGTGAGCTCGGAAGGAAGCAGGCTGGTTCGAGCCGACAGCAGCCTCGGAGTGGACGAATTTGGGGAGGTATGCCACGGTTTGCGGCAGGTGAGCTGCGTGGATCAGTTCAGTTCGGGGGACATGGACGCTGCGCAGACTGTGACGCGCGGCTCGGTCATCTCCAGATTCGTTTGCAAGGACTCGAGCATGTTCATGAACTCGATAGCGGAGGTTCCCACGACCCCTCAAGTGACTGAAGTTGGATCTTTGAAACCGTACTCCCCCTACTCTGCCGAGGCGAACCTGTACAGAGAGACCCAAGGTGTGTGGTGCGCCACCGAGCGCGCATACGGCGAGCGATCCGAGCCGCATAGAGGCGCATACGATGGACACAGTTTCTTGTGTAAATACTGCGGACAAACCTCTTTCGGACCCAGGCAAGAGTGCGACTGTGTGTGGTACAGGAGAGGTGAGCGGGGCAGTAAAGGCGGTGCGCCAGTTTCGACGGTTCAGGCGTTTGGCCAAGTGGAAAGTTACCCAGACGCGATTCCTCAAGGGCAAAGCGCTTTTTCCACTATCAAGACTGAACCTTCCGTTTGGGTGCACTGCACAGATCGCGGCTTCAGGTAAATTACTGCTTCTGAGTTCCTTTTTTTATTTGTTTCAAACCAAGAGGACAATCTTTTTCCAGAGCCGCCCCTAGCCATAAGCAAAGTAAGCAACTGCTTAGGGCACCCAGGCCACCAGGAGGACCGCAAGAGTTCTTGACCTCTCACGGAGAATATATGTTGTTTTCTCTTTGTACTTGAATTTTCCAAGTTCTTAGTCATAAAGACCGCCCCATTAAGCCAGAATTCCAACTAGGAGTGTCGGAGAGTTGCTCAGCAGCACCAAACTTTGGATCCAATATGGCTGCCGCTCATAAATCATGGGGAAAGTTGCCAAATGAAAACTATAAATTAGGATAGTTGATGATTTGTATCTCGTGAAACCTGTTGCATACACAATGTAGTGCAGTCTCTACTTGTGAACATGTTCTTTTAGTGCTTAGTTAAATTTTTATCAGCTTGTGCTCCTCCTGGTTGTTAACACCACAACAATTAGCTTCATGAGCCTATAACTCCTGTGTTATGGGTTCACGGATCCAAGCTTCTACCTCCAAGAAATCAAACATAACTGCATCTTTAAAAAAAAAATAATAATAATAATAAAAAAAAAACTACTGCCCAATTTTGTAGCAGTGTGTGGAGGGGGGAAAAAAATCAAATATTGTTCATTATAACTTAAATTATTTTCTAGCAAGGACCAAAAACCATCTCAAAACTTTTAATTTTTAGTTGCTTTTGATTAAACATTTGTTTTTATATAAAAAAATAAATGTATTCCTTTAAAAAAATTACTGTGGATATTTTTCTTTTAAACTTCAAGTTTTTAAATTTACCTCAGCCATGTATTCTTCTCCTTGTGTTAAAGTCATATTTTATATCTCAGGTAATTACAAACCAATCAATAATTAAAAGGTAAATAATTTTTTTCCCCCCTTCCAGACTCGGCTGAGTGTGCGTTGAATTGCTGCACTCCAGGCACGAATACCAAACCCAGGCTCGTCGCCGCAGTTTATTTACAGCTTCTTTTTTTTTCCTTTTTTTTTTTTTTTATTGAAACGTGACCTGGAAATGGGGTCTCAAATGAAATTCTTGTTCAGGGTTTTCCGTATAGTCTTGGGCCGGGTCTGGTCTGGGTCCTGCCACTTTTAATTTTCACGGGCTGTCAGTCAATCCCTTCTGCGTATGGTGGAAAACAAAAGAGCAACGTGTTGGGGGGCTGATGGTGATGGTGGTGGTGGTGGGGGGGGGAATCACGCTTCATTACAGCGACGTTACTGACAGGCACTTACTTTTAAAGCGCAGTGGTGGTGAACCCCCCTGATATCTGATTTCAAACCCAATTTCCTTTTGAAAAAGCCACATGGCATCAATAGATTGTGTGTTGATTCAAAAAAAAAAAAACCGTGACCGTGCCCCCTTCATTGGCCATGACTCGCATTGTTACTTTGTGGAATCATGGCCTGTCCCGCTGCAGCAGCAGCTGCGTATCTACACCAGAACTGAACCGCACACACACACACACACCCCCTCCGCCCCCCCTCTCTTTTTTTTTTCTTCTTTTTTGCGTTTTTCTGCTCTTGGCCTTGGCCGAGCTGCGTTTCAACATACAGCCGTTGTGAAGCAAAGTTCACCCAGTCCCCCCCCCAAAAAATGTCCAGAAACGTCCTTTTATTTGTGCTGCAGCTAGAGCCGACTTCCAGACGGGGAGTTAATGTATCTGCGTGGCCATAAACAAGAGATACAGCACCTGTTGCTGATTCGGTGCTGGGAGTGGAAGAATCTAAATGCCACGGGTTGCTGATTTCCAGGACTGTGGCATTCTTTAATCACAAGTTTTTATTTGTATCTTAGTTGAATTCATCTCTTGTGTCATCGGCTCTGTGTGACAGGGAAACTAGTTGTAATTGGATTACATTTTAAAGGGCTGGTGCTCTAATTCTCTGTGTGGAACAGATCCCACTGACCTTAATCTATAAATATATCTGATTTACTTTGTCCTTTCATGCTTTTTTTTTTCATGCATGTTATGACTGGAAGTCATAAAATGGACCCTGAAATACCCTGGTAGTGTTTCCTCACGCTCTACCATTTATGCATTTTAAAACCATTCAGACAGTGGTCGGTATTAGGCTGTCATGGCACGATCACTTATGCATTAACATTTTTTGAACCAAAAATACATCATTAGTAGGGTTTGCTATGGCTGCTATGGCCCACCACCCAGGGTGCCCTTGGGTTAGTGGGTGGCAAAAAAATAAAAGATATCGCACTCCACCTGTGCAACATGGAGTGGAGTGTAAACAGTGTTAGAAATGACGATTGTACATGTCTGCTGGCTAATTAAGTTGGTGTCTGCCTTGGTAATCCTGTGTAGGGTTTCATTAGATCTCGGCTGCATTCAATCCGTCTCTTTTTTTCATCTCTTCTCCGCGAGCGTCTGATTCCGGCTCGAGACACCTGAAATTGTTTTATAGTTAAAGAAAGGAATGTAGGGATATTATTATTGTGTTTATGAAACTTTACTGAAGGAGCGAGGTCCAGTGGCCTCGTCGGTGGCGGCTTTTCAGGAATATGGCTTACCGCCCAGGGGGCCAGTGTGAAAGGGGGTGTGGTGCAGGGTTGTGATATATATGGCGGCTCGCTCTGTTTGGGTTATAGATTTCTATTCACCATTAAGTTGAATTGGGGCTTCTGGGCTTTTTAATTTGATCAAAATGAAACAAAAAAAAAATCTGGAGTGAATAATTCAAAGTTAAACAAAAATTTATGAAACTTTTGTTCTGTTTGAGAAATCACTCAAATAAATCCTCGTCTTAGTCTTGTGAATCCAGTCTTGTGTTCTGCACTTCGACCCAAGGCGGCAGTGGGATGATAACATGATTTAGTTGCTTTATTTAAAACAGAAATGAACCATTTGTTTTGTACTGATGGTATATAAATGTATCATTTTAATTATAACAATCTTATCTGTTAAATTTTTATTGTTACTTAGATATGCAGACTTCAATAAATAAATCTAAAACGCGCATTAAACTTAGCAACACTTTTCAAGTACTTTTAAAGTACTATAAAGCAGTTTATAGAGGCGGTGCTTTTTTATTGTTCACATCATGATTGTTTGTAATTTCTTTCTTGCCCGTGAGAAAAAAAGTAGAAGCTTTCTTTCAGCCAGCTGGTTACAGTGTGCAGCTAACGTGTGGAGGGTGTCAGCCCTATTTTCCTCTCAAGCGGGAAAAAAAAAAAAAAAAAAAAAAACCTCTCCTGGTCTTTCTCTGGCATCTTATTTAAAGTAGGGCTTCAAAATAAAATCTATGATTTGTTTCAGATCAGATCCGATTTTAATCGATATTTTTCCCCCCCACCTCGATTTGTTTTTTAAAAAAGAAAGCGCAAATGACAGACAAATACTTTCAAAGAGTGGCTTTTATTTCAATTACCCTTTCCGTGAGTTGTATGATGGAGTAACAGGGCCAGGCTATGAGCCATTTTTTGTTTAATATTCAGAATATAATTTTCAGAATTTCTAGTGAAATTTAATTTCACTAGGAAAAAAAAAGTCTTAGTTTGTACAGTTCCTTTTTCAAAACGGACACAATCGTTTGCATGAATGTTTCAAATTCCTGCTACTTAAAATAATTTAATGCTGTGTTAAAATATAAAGTATTGATAAGTATTATGTGTTGTCTTTAAAACTGGTACCAAAGTATAACTTCACACAGCGCTCAACATTTCTAATTGTAGGTTTTTTTTGTTATTTTTCTTGTTGGAGTTCTCATAAAAACAGTACTTATTTGTCCTATGATTATAAATTTATTCACGTGTTATTCCAACTCAATTGTAGCACTTACCGTATGTTTGTAATATTCCGACTTTATTCTCGAAATTAAATCTAAAAACAAAATTGCAGCCAGGCAATAATAGTCCGTCGCAATGTTGACCTGAATTCAAAGTCCAAGCACATAGAACCTATGAAACACAAGATGGCCGCCCTGGTAGTGCTGACGTCACTTTGGAATATGGAAACCCAAGAACCACATTAATAATAAATAAATAAACCAAAATTTTCCAAAAATTGAAGCTTAAAAAATAAATAAATAAATAAATCGATTAAATGATAGAATCGATTTATCGCGCCGCCCTAAATTAAACATCTCCAGTCCAAACAATGATGGAAAACTTTAGCGATTCTTGAAACTGAAACATTTGAAAACCATGGCTTACCATCATAACCGTCACAATTTGCGTGTGTGTGTGTGCGTGCGTGCGTGCGTGCGTGTGTGTGTGTGTGTGTGTGTGTGTGTGTGTGTGTGTGTGTGTGTGCGTGCGCGCACACTTCCAGGCACGAGGATTTTTTCCCAGGCGTGTTCCTGTCAGACAGGAGAGTGTGTCAGGTGTGCGGCGATGACGCCTCGGGTTGCCACTACGGAGCGGTCACCTGCGGCAGTTGCAAAGTGTTCTTCAAGAGGGCTGCTGCAGGTGGGAGTGACGCAAACAACACCACAACACACACACACACACACACACACACACACACACACACACACACACACACACACACACACACACACAAGCATCCCTGAGTGCACATCAAAATTACAGTATGCATCCCCTGATTTAATTTTATACACCCACCTACTCTCTGCCGTCAGGGCACAGCGACCTGACATTATAAGGCCGAGCAGTTCGTTATCAGAAAACACCCACGTGGCGTTGCTATGAGTAAAAGGCCGAGGCAATGTGGATTCTTTTTTTTTTTTTTTTTTTTTTTTTGTGTGCCTCCAGGAAAGCAGAACCACCTGTGCGCCAGCCGGAACGACTGTACCATCGACAAGCTGAGGAGGAAAAACTGCGCCTCGTGTCGGCTAAAGAGGTGCTTCATGTCCGGAATGAGCCTGAAAGGTACGCAGCTTGTAGGCATGAAAACCTGAAGGAGAAAAAATGTGCCAAGAAGAGAAATGTAACAACAAGAACCTTTAGTTTAATATCTTCCTCAGTCTAACAAAGTTTTTTTTTTTCCAGGACTGACCTAATCTGTATTTATCTCCCATCTATTTTCCCCTCATCTCTGACCAGCTTTTTCTGTCCCTGCAATTAAAAAAGTGCGTCCCCAAAGCATTATGCCATCCCGCCGCCGTTTTCCACAGTTGGAGTGGAGTTTTCACAGTGATGTTCGCCATGCCTTCGACACACCCCAAACACAACTTTTATGGCTTTCTCATTGTCTCTCTTCCAAATATTTTAAGAACACTAATAGTACAGCAAACACTTTCTTCTTGCTGAGCTCTGCAGCACCTCTACGGTTATGTCGGGGCCTTCAGCTGCTTCCCTCCGATTCGTTTTCTCCGAGTTTTGCCGTACATGCGCTGTCTATTTTTAGGTTTTCGCTTTAAGCAGCGCTTTTGGGTTTAGGTTTTCTAACCTAAACCTTGCTTTTAAACGCCACATCTCTCTCCCTGACCTGTCTGCTGTTGGTTCTCCAGTGTTCTCTAACAAACCTCTAAGGCCTTCAGAGAACAGCTGGAGATTACATTACACACAGATGGACTCGATTTACGAATTAGGTGAAGGCAATTTCCTGCATTAGATTTTATTTAGGTCTGTCAGACCAAAGGGAGCTGAAACATATGCATGCCATACTTTTTCGCGTTTTTTTTTTTTTTTTTGGTTAAAAAAGAATGCCGAGAAAACACGTAGTACTTTGTGTTGGTCTACCGCATGAAAGTCCAATAAAACACACTAAGTGTGGCAAAATCCCAAGTTCAGAAGGTATGAACCCCTTAGCAGGCTGCTGTATTCGCTGTGCACATGGATAAAGAACGGGTCAGTGTGGTCAAATGCCTAAGATTCAGCAGAGCAGAACTGTTCCTGCTAAAATTTAGCGTGACAAATTCAATTCAGCGGAGGTCAAAAAGACCTTTTATGTCCTTTCTGTCTGCCTGTTGGCCTGCGAAGAGGAACTTAACTGACGTGTTGATGATAGGAAACATCACAAGAAGCTTGTGAACAACTTTAGCCTCATTTGTAGTAACCACGTGCTGCTGTTTTCTTTAGGGACATTATTTGGCGAAAAAGAAAGAGCTCACTTGTAAGTGGGGCTTCCTGTTTTAGCAATTTATCTTCCACCTGGTGTGTGATTGTAGGCCGTAGGCTGAAGGGAGCCGGACAGACGAGAGGGGGAGAGGAAGAACAGCAGCCTGGTGCCTGGGGGCATGGAGAGAGGGAAGGGAAGCACAACGTTGTCTTGGAGCCTGGAAATGCTGCTGCCAGGGCTCAAGGTGGGGAGGATTAGTGGCTCACGAGCTCAAATATCAAAGAGATTTGCAAAGAGTGTGACCATTTTATGTATATATATATATATATAATATAATTAATTCTTCTGCTCCTGTTTCTGTGTAAACTCCTGCAGGGCCTCAACTTTTAGGGATCCCCCCAACTATGCGCTCCTGCCTCTCCCTGCTCACCATCCTGCAGTCCATCGAGCCTGCCGTTGTTAACGCGGGGCACGACCCCGCCCAACCAGACAGCCCCGCCTCCCTGCTCACCAGCCTCAATGAGCTCGGGGAACGACAGCTGGTGACCGTTGTGCGCTGGGCAAAGGCGATACCAGGTAAACCGGTATGATCCGGGGCGAAAGAGGGGGCAGATTTTATTTTATTTTATTTTTTTTCGTGAAAAGCGCCGCAAGCTGAAAATACCTGCGGCAGCTGTCTCCCACTCAATACGTGATAAATAATAGCACCGCTTGGTCGGACCTGTTGACAATCCTCCACAGATACGCAGTTACTTGCGTGACTCATCAGATTATAGGGCCATGAAAATATTTCGAAAGCTGGCACGAGAATCACGGAGTATCTTTTAGCTCGGTGCCTGACCTCAAAAGGGTTGGATTTCATTTTAGGAGATTATCATGAAAGGTTATAAGCCGTTAATATCTCACCTGCAGCAGATAACTCTCGTGGCATTTTTATTCGGTGTGCATGTGGGGTCGCACGGTCCATCTCAGAACGTATCCAATTCTAAAAAGTATATATCACGATACTTTATGCTAGCATTCTGTGAAACTTTGAGCAGTTTTCTCGCTTTGCCTTTGCGGAATAATTTATCCAGCAGCTGAGGATTATTTACACAGGAAGTGGAGGTTGGAGGAGGTGCACCACTAATAATATTTCAGAGTGAAACACGAACTGAGAGAGGACATTTCCCATGTGAGTTAGAAAGCTAGCGTTCTCGTACATTAGCGGTCACCAATCGGGAGTTTCACACGTCGGAGAAAGACTCGGAAATGTTTTATTTTGAAAAACAGTTCGCCCCCTCTCACTCCGGCACTCCTACAAGTAACATTTGTCTCCCTGGCATCATCTCTCTATGCTTGTTGGCGCGCTTGAGACATACTTATAGTGCAGACATCTGACCCTAATGCAGACAGCTGGTCCAAAGCAAAGGATCTCCCAGCAGAATCCACCACACAGGCGCCCTGCTGAACGCTAAATCTGCTGCCGTGCTAAGCACAGCGCCGGTCACATGACCGCAGCGCTTCGTGCCAAAACAGATTTTGCACATGTGTCTCTTCAGCGTATTATCGTCACCCAATGCCCCTGTTTCCACCTATGCATGAAACGTTGTCCTGCGACACAGCGTGGGCCCGCAACTGCTTCGGTGCCGCCTGTAATTTTTGCCTTTTATACAGTTTTTGCATTTATTTCCGGGAGACTCAGACTGGGAAATGCTTCATGTGTCCTAAGAAGAGTTTCACGCAGAAAGGCTCGTCATTTTTATGATCCTCAGCTTCTGTGTGTACAACCATCCAAAGAAAAACATAGGGTCATAAAATATGCTTTACTCAGAAGATTGTGGATTTTTTTTTTTTTAGATTAGATCTTTGTAAATGCATGTAGGCTGAAGGAAGAAACCACAAGAGTTGTCTAAGATCAACTGCTTGCAAACTTAAAAAAAAAGAAAAAGAAAAAAAAAGGCCCATCCCTTTAACACTGAAGCAGTCTGGTGCAGAGCGAGCTAGCCTGTTCAACTATAAGCCACTAGAGGGAGATGTGTTCTTGTTTATGGAGATGATAGAGAAATGAAAATGCAAAGCAGGGTCTCTAGTATGATCTTTGACATTATTACGGTCTAACTTTTATTAATTGAGTTAATCAGGATATTATTCATATTATTATTATTATTATTATTATTTATAGTTTTCCCATTTCCTAAAATGTCCATTTTATCAACAGGTTTCCGTGACCTGCATGTGGACGACCAGATGTCCGTGATTCAGTTGTCATGGATGGGGGTGATGGTGTTCGCCTTGGGCTGGAGATCCTACACGCTCACCAACTGCTCCATGCTCTACTTTGCGCCCGACTTGGTGTTCAACGAGTAAGTCACGCGAAAAAGTTTTTTTTTACCCGTCCCAGACGTCTAAACTTGAAGGAGTTCTTGGTAGCAAGTTGAGCGAGTTGACTAAAGTTTCCCAAGCCTGTCGCTTCGTCTTAAGAAAGCGGGGGGGAGGGAGGAAAAAGTTTGTTTGGGGCGTAATCAGTTGTAATAATCGCAGCGGCGTGGGGGTCTGTTGGAAATATCGGGAGATTTCCACCTGTCACCGTCACTGGGAAGCAGAACCACGGTGGAATACGCGGTTCAGAGGAAGACTGACTAATCAAACAATAAAACGCGTGCTTTTTCAAGACGCGGCGGTAAACAAGCGCGTTCTGATCTTACCACTTCCTCTGCGTCTGATACGCGTGGCCGCAGAGGGATCACCTCTGATGATTTATTCCATTTAATCTCTCTTTTACCGAAGCAGTCGTCTCATCAAGATGTTTGCTTTCGTTCACCTTGATACGCGCCGCAACCTTCCAGCCTCCACCCAAAAACCTGTCTTTAACTTCAACTTTCGTCTTTTGTCTCTGCTTTGAACTTACAAAAACAAAACAAAAAAAAAACCGTACTGCCGCTTTTATCACAAATCTCAATGCGTGATATGCATGTACACAGTGTCTTACAAATGCATTCATATTCATGGAGTGGTAAAGCCAAGTTTGTCACCAGTGATGTTGCAAACTTCTGGAAGTTGGTGCTTTTGTTAGATGAGACCAAAATGGAGCTTTGTGTCTTACATGAGTTTCAAAAAGCTTAACCGTGTACATTATGAGCGTACCGCTGCCACTGAAAGACGCGGTGGTGGCGGCATGCTTCTGATGACTTTGGAGGAGTTGCTGAGGCAGTCTGTTGACACGCCGTCCATAAATCTGGTTTTTGTGGAGAAGGAAGTCAATGTCAGATTAATGGTTACCACAAGCCATAGTAGTGACTTGTGGGTCAGGAGTCACGTTGACAGAATATTTCCTGTATTTGACTTTTTTTTTCTTTTTTTTTTTTTTTTCAAACGATGGCAAAATCTCATGATCGTCAAGGTCATTTAGATGGATTACAACTTACATTCTTGATTACTCGGTGCATAAGTGCGAACATTTTCAACTTACTTTGCGCACAGAGTACATCCCAGAGGAAACTAATTCAATCACTAAAAAGAAAAAAAAATCCTTCTGAATATCAGCTCTGACATGGACGCAGAACCGACTGCATCTTGCTGACCAGGAGCTGACAGAGTTATGGACGGGGACACTTTGGAGCGTGTCCGCTTCCAAAACGCATTCGAGTGCTGCTTTTAATTCCTGTCTCCAGAGTGGTGGCAGAGCTCAGACTGGCGTTTAGATCTATACCCGGAGCCCGGCCCAAATTTCGGGTTTTGTCAGCACAAAATAATTTGCTGGATGGACAGGTTGGGTCGGGATTCTTTGGCGCCTTTAACAAGTGTGCAGCAAATACAGAACAGGTAAAACTGAAGCGAGTGCTATGTTGTGAATGCTCCGTCTAAACAGAGGAGCAGGCAGTTTACTTTATTGGAGAAAGAAATGAAGAAAGGCACAGAAGTTAATTAGACTGCAACAAGTGCAGCGCGCTGGACAAGTAAAAGCCTACACGCCCCCACCCTGCTCCGCTCCTATCAGTCACACATCCCAAATGATTTGCACCTGACTCACCATGCGGTTACAACAAGCGCCAAAACGGAGCTGGGTCTAAAAACGAAATGGGGTTGTTTAATTTCATTGTTTGGATGTAGTTATTGGGGGAAACAGCCAGTGGTTTTTGTGGAGAAAAAGTAAATGTGCTCATTTGCTTGGTGTATGACGGGATCTGGATTCTCTGTTCATTGTTAATTAAACCAAATAAAAATTAAGTGCAATTGAATAACCAGAATTCAATCGCAATTATTTAAAATTAAGCGCATTGTTATTTAAAAAAACAGAATACGGCCGAATTATTTGACTCCGTCAGAAACGTCTTTGGTTCTGGTCAATCGAGTCCAACATTTAACTTCTTGGGCAACTGTGTTTGGGCAAAAACTAACTTTATATTACCCTGAACACAGTGTCTTTGTAGTGAGTAATGGTGGTTGCAGCAACCTGCTGTAAGGAGCAAGATTAGAAGAAAAGCTGTTAGAGGCTAAGAGACTGCAGAGTGCGACAGGAGAACAACACTGAGCATACAGACAAAGCAACAAGCAAAGGGTTTTAGTCCAAAGTAGGTAGTAGTGTTTGAATGGCTCTGAAAGTCCAGCCTGAGATACTGTGAGAAGACCTGTTCAAAGACACTTTCTGTTCAGTCCAGGTGAAACTGAGCTACTTTGCAGAAACAAAATGGGCGAATTTCAGTTTCGATCTTTGGGCAAAGGCCCAAATGATTTGTTATTTAGTCATTGGATATTTACAAAACATTTCAAAAACGATGCATCATTTTCGCTCTGCTTCACTATTATGCACTACTTTGTGTTGGTCTAAATTCCCAGTAGAAATCACATTAAGGTGGCGCGGTGTGACAGAGTTCCGTAGGTATTCGCCGTTTTGCGAAATGCTAAACGTTCGCCGCCGCCTTGCAATCCAGTTGAACTGCTGTGAGCGGCGTTCTGATGGCGTACAGCCAGTCATGCGCCTTCTCAATTTTTCTGCCATTTTGTGTTACATTAGCAAAACACTCGTTCTCTGCGCGTTAGACCTCCGTCGCTCCTACAGGGCCGCCCGCAACCGCCGCGGTTAATGGATACGCCTGCCCGTGTTGCTGACCCTCATTTTTCTCTGCCCATCTGTCGTTCTCCTTTTCTATTATCCATCTAACTCATTTTTCTCTCACCCCTGCCGCGCTTTCTCCGATCTCCTCTTCTCTCGTCCCCACAACTATTAATCCTCTTCCTCTTCTCTGTGTGTTTCTGCCAGAACATCTCCTGGCTTCACACTTCTGCTTCTGTCACACCTTGTATCCGATCACTCCTCTCTCCTCCCTCTAATACTGTTTGGCTGATTTTTTTTATTTTTCCCCCCCCCCCCGCCCCCATTTTTCCTCCCACCATCCCAGCCAACGTATGCAAGTGTCCAGCATGTACGAACACTGTGTGAGGATGAAGCTGCTCGCCCAGAGGTTCTGCAAGCTGGAGGTTACCGAGGAGGAGTTCCTCTGCATGAAGGCCCTGGTCCTCTTCAGTATCAGTGAGTCACCCGGGATCATTTCCAAAAAACAGCCCCGTTGAAGTGAAATACGACTTGAACAGAGCGCGGCCCATGCTCCGGAGAATTGATGGGGAGGGATAAAGCCTGTGAGAGTTATTGTTGTGTTCTGGCTTTGTGGTCACAGTGCCAGTGGAGGGCCTGAGGAGCCAGCGCTGCTTTGACGAACTGCGGACCTCCTACATCAAGGAGCTGGACCGCTTAGCGAGCCACCACGGGGAGACCACCCGGACACAGAGGCTGTTTCAGCTCACGCAGCTACTGGACTACCTCCAGTCGGTAATACATGGGACTCTGTAACCCAACCCTCCACCCCCCCCCCCCACCCCCAACCCCTGAACCTGCCTCCTTCCTTCCACTCCTTACTTGTTGCTGATCTGTTACGCAAGTGTCATTTTGTCATTTTTGGCTTTCATCAGGTGAAAGTCATTTGGATTTCAGAACACTAACACTGTATTTGGCTCCCGGCAGTACAGTGTTGGTTTATTTTTACCGAACGTGTTCAGGTTACATTAACAGAGCCACTTATTCTGTTTATGTAATTAAAAAAGAAAGAAAGGAATAACTGCCTTGGCAGACAAAGGTTCAGTTCAGCTCTTCTCATCTCCTCTGCTCTGGCTCCACCTGCTGGCTGCGGAGTGTCACTGCTGAAATTCAAAAAATGCTGTTTGGTTTAAGCCGAGTGATAATAATACGAATAAAAACCAAGACATATTTAATTTCTCCCCAAAAATTCTAATTAATTACCCATTTCCCCCTGCTTTTTAATTGTGTATTTATTTATTTTTCACATTTTGTCACATCAAAAAGGCTCAGACATATTGCCTGTTCCCAAAAAAGAAAAAAAAATGACACTAATATTTTGCTTGGGTTGTGGGACCTATTCGCTGTGGCGTAGTTTCAATAAGCTTATTCACTGTCACCATGTTTACTTCTATCCAGATTTGCATTTAGCTTTCGCCAAGGTCGTGTAGAAACGATAGGAGAACGAGACCACAGTGGGATCAGTCTCCAGCACATCCCGGGTTCTGGACTCTGGTGGCGACAATTATGTTTCATGCTTCTTGAATTTCAGCTCGGTAAATTTCGCCGTTGCCATCTTGGAATACACCAGTGCCGTCAGGTTGGGGGGAAACGCGTCCGTTGATGGAACAACCTGGTCATTCGGTATATTCAGGTTGTCAGCTGACCACAATCTTTGGGTATGTAATGTTGCTGAACCTGACCGACTGCAGCAACCTCAGATCATAGCACTGCCCCCCACAGGCTTGCATAGCAGACTCCAGGGACGATGTCTGCATCAATTCATCTGCCTCTTTTCATCCCAGAACAGGATAAATCTGGACTTGTCAGACCACATGACCTTCCTACATTTCTCCAGAGTCCAGTCTTTAAGCTTACTCTGCCTCTCTGATCAGTGCTTTGCTTAAGGCTAGACAGCTGTTTAGGCTTAATCCCTTAAGTTCCCTTCGCATTGTGCATGTGGAAATGCTCTTACTTTAATCTCTGGCTAGAGCCGGGAGTTCTGCTGTTGTTTTTTTACGACGTGAATTCACCAAATGTCTAAATGACCGCAGATCCAGATCGTTTCACATGTTGTCCCAACCACATTTCTTCTGCGAAGATGATGGTTCCCCGTTGTCTGTCCAGTTTGTGTTGGACAGCCCTTAACCCATTTTTTTGTAGTTTCTGGCTGGGTTTCCCGCAGAAAGCCCGGCGGTAGGGGCTCTGGAGCAGTCAGTCAGCGCCCCACCATGTTTTTGTGTTAAAAAATGTCAAAAGTTCACAGGAAATTTAACAATATGACTAGGTAATTATATGTTATTGGAAGACATTGTTGACAATATTTAAACACACCAAACCAATACAAAAAAAATATAGTTAATTATTAGCTTGGTCCTAAAACAAGTTACGTAATGCTGGTCACATTCAGAGCCAACCCAAGACATTGAGTGGACTAAGTAGCTCTCAGGGCCCCCAAAACCTTCTGGGACCCTCATTGTTGCTTATATTTTAACGCAGATGATAGATCTATAATTGTAACGTTTGTTTATCGAGAATGACAATTCAATCAAATCTGAACCAATGGTTTCAGCAGAGATAAATTAAAAGCCTTAAATTGTTTAATATTTAAATGTAAGATTTAAAAAAATTGGCAAGTTGCCTTTTTGAACATGCAAAAACATACATCACTACATCTCTATATGTTGCTTCTGACGTTCTTAACAGGAAGCGAGGGGCCCTAACTTATATTCTGCTTAAGGCCCCATAAAATCATGTGCCAGCCCATGAACCAAAATGGACAATGTAAAGTTATCTAAATATACTTAGGGTACAAAATTCAAGAATTAAATAATGTCTGCTGCTTGGTGTGGTATTTTGCTCTGCTGGTTGCGATTGGTTGGTATTTATCCAAGCGAACGCAGGATTTGTAAGGAACACCGGCTGAAAAAGATCCGCCTGTGATCGTCTGTTGTGGTTCATCGACATTTAAAGCTTCTTCAAGTTGCAGGCACGTGCCGGAACATGTATCGAGGGAGCAAGTGTGAGGTTTGAAAGCACATGCCGCACACTTTTCTTTGTTCTCACTGCTGCTCTCAAAACAAACACCCGCAACTATTTGTTAACTCATATTTGCGGTTCGCATTGAGCGGTACCGGCTTTTACACTTGCCGCTTACCTTGGTGTAGTAAGCGTCAGCAAGGTGACGCTCGGCGACGCTTCTGCAATGAGAAAACCTCATTGCAGAAGGTTTTCTTGGCTTTCTACAATGAGTTCTTACAGGGTGGTTTATGCGAATGCGGGTACAGGTGAACCTCCTCTGCAGGAACACCATCCGAATCACCCGGTTTGAGAGAGAGGCGGCGCGTGCGATCCGCAAAGCGGTGCATGACCAGACACGACGACAACACACACAGGCGGCCAACCCAGACGGTGCGATTAGTGCGCCCAGTTCAATGCATCACCTACCCATGGGTTCTATCACTGTTTCTGGTGTATGAAAACCTTCTCTAAAATGAATAAACAAGCGACGCTTAGAGTAAAATAGCTTGTTGTCTGCTGAAAGATACTCATTTCCATAATAATTATCCTGTTTGAGGCTCTGACCTATTAGCTTTCATAATCAAGGTGGTGAAGTTTTTGGACAGGCAGTGTATTTTATTGGGATTTTATGGGGATGGATGAACACAAAGTAGTGCATAATTGTGAAAAGGAAGGAAAGGAACACATGGTTTTCAACTTTTTTTTACAAATAAGACTAAAAGAAGGTGTGACGTACGTTTGGCTTCAGCCATCTTCATCAATATTTTGTTCTCTCAACTTTTACTCCAGTCATCTCTCTTCCAGCTCTGCACATCTCAACACTGAAGTCTTTAGCACAGGTTCAGTCACTTTTGATGGAAAGTGTCTACGAATAACTTTCCGAGTCTTGCTGCATATTTTTGAGTGAATTTGGACTTTGAATAGGCCATTCCAACACATTAATAGGTTTCGATCTAAACCAGGGATCTGCAAGCTGTGCCTCTGGAACCAAAGTTGGTTTTCCTGACCTTCTTTGGCTAAAAATAAAAACATTGGCTGGGATGTATTTTTTAAATAATGATATGGCAGATATAGGGTTTAGGAGTTTTTCAGGGTTTTTTTTTAATGAAATATTTGGATTGAATTTAAACAGAGCGGCACAAAAGTAACAAAAAATGACAAAAGCACCAGTGATATGTTTAGCTTCATCAATCTTGTCAATGGGTTGGAAACTAAAGCACGGACAAAATAGCTGCTTCCTCTCCGTTGATCATCACAATTGTCACAAAAAGTAATAGTATATAAAAATTTACTAAGAATTAACAAGTGAAAGTCAGACTTTGCTTTTAAACTGTGCTCCAACAGGATCATTTTGAACAAACTAACTACTGAAACAGGCATTGACAAAAACGACAGAACCTGTAACTCACTGCAATCAAACGACTTCTATAGCCGTCAGTGAGACCGCTGCGACTTTCCACAGGTATCTTGGTCCGCTCCTCCTGCTCCAGTTCTCTCACGTTTGAAGGTTGCCTTCTCCATGTTTCAGCTCCCTCCACAGATTTCCAACAGGATTTAGTTGAGGGCTCATAGAAGGCCACTTCAGAACAGTCCAGTGTTTTGCTTTTAGCCGTTTTTGGGTGTTTTTAGCTGTGTGCTTTGGGTCATTACCCTGCTGGAAGACTCACGACCTGCGACTGAGACCGAGCTTTGTGACGCTAGGCAGCACATTTTTCTCCAGAATGCCTGGTCTTGAGTTTTCATAGTGCCCTGCACAGATTCAAGACGCCCTGTGCCAGATGCAACCTCAGAACATAACCCAGCCTCCTTAATGTTTCACAGTAGGGACAGTGTTCTTTTCTTGGTTTTCTTCATTCTTGGGTCTGTGAATATAGAACTGCCGTGCCAAAAAGCTCCAGTTCTGTCTCCTCTGTCCAAAGAACTTTCTCCCAGGAGCTTTGTGGTTTGTCACTATGCATTGTGGAAAATTCCAGTCTTGCTTTTTTTTTTTTTCCTCGCTTTGGTCTCCGCCTTGGTCGTCTCCCACTTTGGCTCGAAGCAACGATGGATGGTGCGATCTAACACTGGCGTACCTTGACCTTGGAGCTCACCTTTAATTTCTTTGGAGGTTGTTCCAGGCTCTTTGGTTACCATTCTTGCGATCCTGCTCTTCAATTTGTCATCAATTTTCCTCCGGCGGCTATGGAGGTTGGCTGGAGTCCTGCAGACCTCAGACGTCTGAATAATATGTGTAATTGTAATCACAGGAGCGCCAAGCTGCTTAGAGACAGTCTCTCTCGTAATGCTAATTAGAGGACACACCTTAGCTTAATATACGGTATCTCTGTCGTCAATTATGCCAACCTTTTTTCTTTTTTTTAGAAATACCAGCATTTTTGTCCAGGTCTGTTTCTTTAGTTTTATTTTTATCAAAATGATTGAGTTTAACCACATTTCAAAACCAATGCCTGCTTCTTATAGCTTAATTTCTTTGTAAATGCTTAGTTTTCAAGTTATTTCAGTGACCATTGTGGATTTTCTTTTGTGTTTAATAGAGTTACCAATTATTTTTCTACATGTGCTTTTTTATTATGATTTTTCCATAAATTTAAATATCACGTAGATGTTCTTTTTATTTTTAAACTAAAAAAAAAAAAAAAAATGCAACAGTAGATTATATTTAGGGAGGTCTCTTTGGCTTGTAAATGTCCCAAAATCCCCTGACCTAAACCATCCCAACACCAATTTAACTGTGTTTAGGGTAGTTTTCCTTCTGGAAGTCGAAACTCCACCCTTGTTTCAAATCTTTTGCAGCCTTTAGTGGTTTAATTTGGTCGCACTGGATTTTAATTGGGGCATCAGTACAGAAAAAAAGGGGGCAAATACAAATAAATACCACAGAAAAAAAAGGTTAAAAGGAATATGAATACTTTGAGGTTGACGTTTTTAAACATCTGTGCTATCAGGTTATGAACTACTGCAGCAATAAACCGTCTATGCCGTCTTTATTAGCAGTGTCAGCTCAGGATAGTTAACCACCCTCACAGGAATGCTTACTTTTCCCCCGGCAAACCAGACCGACTGAGAAAAATTAGCAGCAGACGTTTGACTTCTAAAAGTCGTAAATTACGCTGCGTCTCTTTACATTCACAGAGTCTGAGAAGTCAGATGGTATGGCTAGACGGGAACCTGAAAACTCACAGAACGCGTTGCCAGATTTAAAGGGGGTCACATAGTTTTTTTTTTTTTTTTTTTTGTCCATCCATCCTCTACCATCGTTTCTCTCCCTCTCTTTCTTTCTTTCTTTCTTTAAAACATCTGCACACATTTGCCTCCAAGATAAATTCCATCAGTAAAAGCTGAAATAAATCACCGGCTGAGAGCTTGTTTATCATGCGGACATGTCAGGCAGGCTGTGAGCTTTCTGTCTGCCGAAATTTATCGCCCAAGTATTTGTCGTTATGACCCGAGGGAGCGCCTGAGAACAGACTTTTATTTACACAAAGTAAATGTTTTTACTCAAGGAAAAAAGGCTTACAAATCACTTACGCTCGGATGGATATCTTTTTATTTTTAGCAAATTAATACATCAGCAGCTCTACGGGTCCCGCTGACATTTTAAAAATAACAAATGTTTTGCCACTAGAGGGAGCAAGTCGACCACTTTCCTCCAGAAGTGGAAACAATTAAGTGCCAGCAGACAAACTCCTGAGATCATTGATCGGTGTGTAACCGCGAGAGGATCGGATCTCTCCTACAGAGAGCAAGTTTTGTCCCTTAAATGCTCTGCTGTGTGTGTCACGAGTTGGAGAGCAGCCAGAGAAGAGGCAGAAGACCAGAACTGATTAAGGTCTCGCAGTTCAGGCCTTTTTTTTCTCTCTCTCTCTCTCTCTCCTTTTTCCACCCATCTGTGGAGCGTAGAACATCAGATGTCTTTTTCAGCACTAACCGCCTCGTGCACACGTACGTCCTAACCACGTCTCTCTCTCTCTCTCTCTTTTCTCCACCTCGTTCTCTCCTCCATCTTAGGTCGTGAGAAAGCTGCACCAGTTCACCTACGACCTCTTCATCCAAGCTCAGTCCCTGCAGATGCGTGTCAACTTCCCGGAGATGATCTCCGAGATCGTCAGCGTTCACGTGCCTAAGATCCTCTCGGGCATGGTCAAGCCCATTCTGTTCCACAACACGGCCTGAGGGGGATTTTTCCTCCGGGTGGATCTGAAACACGACGGAGGCGCGTTGCGGTTTTCACGAGGTGACGGAGCCTTTCAATCGGACCCTGACAGACGGAGGGGATGGCACATTCTTCCAGTGTTTTGTAATCCAGTAAAAGTCCACTCTGCTCTTCTTTCTCGCTGCCTGCTCAGTGCATCACACACACACACACACACACACACACACACACACACACACACACACACATACATACAGCACATGGGTTTCTCTCTTTTTTTTTGGGGGGGGGGGGGGGGGGGGTTTCTTGGAGAGCTGATCACAACACTTGCATGCATTCCTGCACATCAGCCAACGGAGTTGGGCATGTAAAACCTCTTCAGCTCTTCTTACTGATTACTGTCAGCTGAAAGATAAAGCCAGTATCGTAGTGAGAAAAACATGTTTGCAGAGTTCTCAACCCCAAAAAGCTTTTCTTCTGTGTGCTGCAGTATGACATTTGAACTAGCTTTTTTCCACAATGAATGTGATTGTGTGCACCTGACAGAGAGAGAAAGAGAGAGAGAGAAAAACTGCTTGATTGGCAGTTAATAATAACACAGTTGTGACTTGCATGCTAAGAGGAAAAGTTATCTCGCCCGAAGGCATATAAAAACATTTTTAAAAGCTGTTCTCATGTCTTAGAAAAAGAAAAAAAAACTTTACAAAAAAAAAAACTTGGCAAATAGTTTTATGTATTGTTCAGTGTGTTAAAATGAACACCTTTAAAGTGCAAGTGACTGCGGTAAAGCTGATTTTAAGTGTATATTTATGAAAAAAAAACAACTTTGGATCCAAGTAGAAAATGATCAGAAAGAAAAGTCTCAAATACTTGTTTGCCTCAGTTAACACTGAGGGGAACTTTATAAAAAAAAGAAAAAAAAGAAAAAAGAAGCTTTTTGGAGTGCCAAACACTGTTCAAGTACAACTTTTTCAAAGTGGATATTTCATAATGCTGTGGAACTTTTCTACCGTTTCTTAAAGGTGTTCTTTGCAAAATGCTTTCTTGTGTGTCGTCATGTGTTCATTGTAGCTTCGATAATAAATGTCCAGTAAAGACACTACGTGTTGGTTGCTGTGTTTCTTGCATAAGCGATGTTGGATTTATGGGCCAAAGCAGAGACGGTATCAGTGAAGACGCAAAAACCCTAACAGGGTTTTAGCATTTAGCTAAAACTTTGAATGTTTTTCTAACTTCTGGACATTTTTAAAGTAGGAATGAGGAGAGTTGCTTTTTGATAATTGGCACCGTTAATAAAGTTGAAACTGTTTGAAATGTAAAAAAAACAAAAACAAAAAAAAAAACATTTGCAATCATTTTTGAAGTATAAATACAAAACAAGGTGAGTTAAATTGCTATTTAACAAAATCAATTGGGCTATAGTAATGTAAACCTCAGACAAAACAGGGAATATTTCAGTTTTTATCTCGTTAAACCAATGGAGTTATGAAAGACAATCAACATTTCATAATTTCCAGGATAATAGCATGTAGTCTGAAAGTTCAATACTTTCAGACTACATGCTGAAAGTATGTAGTCTTTCAGCATGTAAGTCAAAAACCAAACATGAAGACGCAATCATCTGGTTGGTCTTCAGTTTTAACAAGAAAAGAGTTTGTATTTAAGGGATGAAATGCTTTTAAAATAATAAAAAAAAAACTTTTAGGCCTATTGTAACAGGCTAAATGTAAACCTTTTCCCTGACAACCAAAACTAGGACGCGCCATGGCAACAGTCAGATATGCTAGCTTACTGATAACTCTGACACTTAGCATTAGCACCGTGGCTAAAGGAGATAAATCTGGAAACAAGCTTAAGTTTTTGCTCCAACAGAAAAACTCCTCTAACCACACATCTTGTGACTTGTTTCCAACAGCGTTGATATATTATTTCATAATAGAAGTCATCTGAATATCGCAGACACCAGCTAACTGAATTGACATATTTAGAGTCTCATCTTTAGCTTTAGTTGGGATTTATTACCAAAATAAAAGAGCTAATTTATGGACTTTACATCATAAAACTAATGTGCTTCATCATAACTTAAAGAACAAGAGTGGCTGACATTTAATACTCTCCAAAGTTCCTTTTTATAGCATAGTGCTGTATTTACAGTTTCAAGCATAGATTTTTCTGCTTGTGTTTAATTGTCTGTCAAATTGATTTATTTCTGCCATGTTTTCCACCAGCTAGACAGGCTCTACAGGACACAACACAAACAGAAATAATGGAGTTGACAGCTAAATAAACGTAGCAAATTTAAACAAGAAGTTGTGGAAATTAGTAATTAGTGGATCAAACAAAGGACTAAGCCCATTTTCTTCCTAATCCTTGTCGAATAAATATAATCTTTTATTAATTATTATTATTTTTGATTTGGGTACATCTAGACTTTTCTTGATATTTTCAAATTGCCATTTCCGTGTGGTTGTTTCTTGTCTTTTCTGACTTGTCAAGACTAACACACAGCTGCCCCACTTGGCCTGCTTCCTTATGTTTCCCATTTTGAAGAGTGGCCAAGAGAAGACGCAAGGGTTTGTTAACTTCCCTAGAAATTATGATGAACTATAATATATAAATAATGAAAATTAATAGTTAAATTGCTGACATATTCTTTCATTTATTATTGTGGCATTTAGCAAACAGGAATAATTTCAGTAATTTTAACTGACCAAGAACAGGAGAAGTTTGGTCTGAGTTCATTTTAAACAGTGAAAAAAAAAGATGTCTTCTCATTTGGTATATATTTATATATATGTGTGTATGTATGTGTGTGTGTTTTATGGTGCAGCATAGCTTTTAGCCATTCAAGTCTGAATACATTATACCATCTAGTGGCGCTTTAGCTAAATAAAATCGGAAATAAGCATAAGTGGGACATCTGTTGGATCTATTGACATTTGCCCCGCGACGTAATTGGACACAGATTCACTCCCGTGTTTCAGAGCAGTTTCCATTCAACGGTCACAAGCGTGGACCTCTGCGCACTGAAGGGCTGCGGTAAATAAAATATACATGAAACAGACATGGAAAGATTCGGGGGTCAACGCACTCAGAGGTCGGGGCGCTCTGACAATCAGACGAGGACGTCTTCGCTCTCGCTTCTGCCTGGAGCGGCAAAACCGACGACTCCTTAAAACGTAGCAACTCGCTGCCCGTAAAGTAACAGAAAATGGGATATTAATTTCTTACTGATCTTGAATGAGCTGATTTATGACAGATCAAATAAAAAAAGTGTACTTTAACGTGTCAAACTATGTAGGCTTTTTTTTTTTTTTTAGAGATTGAAAGCAATTAAATGCTTTGGTGTTGTAACTTATTAGTATCTATGTTGACTTTAAATAGAAAACTTTGCTCTAATTACAGTCACATCCATTAATGATGCTGTAAATTGATGGTTTTGTTAAAGCCCAACAATGCTCTTTCTAGTTTATTTATTATTTAGCTAATTAATTATAAAAATGACACTAATTGTTTTTACTTAAACAAATCATTAACTCCCAAAAGATCTTCTGAAAACATATCAGAGTTAAACCCATAAGTGGGTCGGATTGATTCTGAAACATCCTACATTATAAAAATAACATTACATTATAATGTATTAGGATTATTATTAATTATCAGCCGTGTTTGCCGTCTCTTTAGCTGAGGGAACATGTTTAATTCCCACGTGAGCTGATCATTTTCTCCCTGACATGTCTTCAGTCTCTAACTGGTATTAAAAATTTTATGAGTGGGNGGGGGGGGTTTCTTGTAGAGCTGATCACAACACTTGCATGCATTCCTGCACATCAGCCAACGGAGTTGGGCATGTAAAACCTCTTCAGCTCTTCTTACTGATTACTGTCAGCTGAAAGATAAAGCCAGTATCGTAGTGAGAAAAACATGTTTGCAGAGTTCTCAACCCCAAAAAGCTTTTCTTCTGTGTGCTGCAGTATGACATTTGAACTAGCTTTTTTCCACAATGAATGTGATTGTGTGCACCTGACAGAGAGAGAAAGAGAGAGAGAGAAAAACTGCTTGATTGGCAGTTAATAATAACACAGTTGTGACTTGCATGCTAAGAGGAAAAGTTATCTCGCCCGAAGGCATATAAAAACATTTTTAAAAGCTGTTCTCATGTCTTAGAAAAAGAAAAAAAAACTTTACAAAAAAAAAAAAACTTGGCAAATAGTTTTATGTATTGTTCAGTGTGTTAAAATGAACACCTTTAAAGTGCAAGTGACTGCGGTAAAGCTGATTTTAAGTGTATATTTATGAAAAAAAAACAACAACTTTGGATCCAAGTAGAAAATGATCAGAAAGAAAAGTCTCAAATACTTGTTTGCCTCAGTTAACACTGAGGGGAACTTTATAAAAAAAAGAAAAAAAAGAAAAAAGAAGCTTTTTGGAGTGCCAAACACTGTTCAAGTACAACTTTTTCAAAGTGGATATTTCATAATGCTGTGGAACTTTTCTACCGTTTCTTAAAGGTGTTCTTTGCAAAATGCTTTCTTGTGTGTCGTCATGTGTTCATTGTAGCTTCGATAATAAATGTCCAGTAAAGACACTACGTGTTGGTTGCTGTGTTTCTTGCATAAGCGATGTTGGATTTATGGGCCAAAGCAGAGACGGTATCAGTGAAGACGCAAAAACCCTAACAGGGTTTTAGCATTTAGCTAAAACTTTGAATGTTTTTCTAACTTCTGGACATTTTTAAAGTAGGAATGAGGAGAGTTGCTTTTTGATAATTGGCACCGTTAATAAAGTTGAAACTGTTTGAAATGTAAAAAAAAAAAAAAAAAAAAAAAAAAACATTTGCAATCATTTTTGAAGTATAAATACAAAACAAGGTGAGTTAAATTGCTATTTAACAAAATCAATTGGGCTATAGTAATGTAAACCTCAGACAAAACAGGGAATATTTCAGTTTTTATCTCGTTAAACCAATGGAGTTATGAAAGACAATCAACATTTCATAATTTCCAGGATAATAGCATGTAGTCTGAAAGTTCAATACTTTCAGACTACATGCTGAAAGTATGTAGTCTTTCAGCATGTAAGTCAAAAACCAAACATGAAGACGCAATCATCTGGTTGGTCTTCAGTTTTAACAAGAAAAGAGTTTGTATTTAAGGGATGAAATGCTTTTAAAATAATAAAAAAAAAACTTTTAGGCCTATTGTAACAGGCTAAATGTAAACCTTTTCCCTGACAACCAAAACTAG